ACTGGATCCCTAGCAAGAGAGCTGAGAGGCTGTAAGTTCCTCAGCAAACTGTAAAGTCCCCAGCAAAAGCTGGCCAAGCTATGGAGCTATTTCTCCCCAGCCAAGCTGTAAATGATGAAGCCTTTTACTGGAGGTCCTGGTTTAAGTCCTGTAAGAAAGACTTCTCTGTGTGGACTGGCCTAAAATGGCTCCTATTCCCTCCAAAACCCCAAAAGGGGGTGGAACTAGGGAACCTAATGATAATTGACAGGCCATTGACCCAATAACTGCAAAGTAAGGAAAGCCATCAAACTGCAAATGCATAGAACTTTAAAAAACATGCAACACTCAACAAATAGCAAGATAAGCTGGAGCTCCTGGTACGGCTGTACCAGAACAGCCATATAATCCAGTTCAGTGTTGATACTATACAGCTGTGTGGAAGCGGCCTAAAAGAAGCTAGCTAGCTGGCTTTCCCTGTCACAACCAGTTGTTCCCTTTTAGGAGGAGGAGAAGAAATTGAAACAGATCCTCTTCAGACGATCTCAGAACCCTGTGGGCATCTATACACATTAGAATATCTTTCGTTTCTTGGTTCTGTAGTCTGTCATTGCTGTAACACACAGTGAATATGCACAACACTTGCCTTTGAATTGCACTTGGCAGAAAGTAAGCTAGCATGGATCCTGCTGGGCAATTAGGGAGGAAACCATGGGAAGCAGGACAAAGTTTTATACAGGTAGTCCCTTAGTTACAAACATTCCACTTAAGATGACTCATAGTTAAGAACAGGGGCGAGACAACAAGAAGTCAGAGAGATCTACCCCTTGGAAGGGACAATCACTCCTGAAACAGTTGTCATGGGGAAACGGTGTCTTCACTGAAGCTTTCTCACCAATTCTTGTTTCCACAGCAAGCCAAAGGTACAGAAAGTGAAGTGAAATCTTCTGAAAGTTTTGATAGGACAGGGATAGCACAGGGAAGAGTTAACATCCCTATGGTATTTGTTTTGCTGTCTGTGCTCCTGTTCGGAAGATTTCACCTCACATTCTGTACTGTACTGTACTGTACTCTCTCTCTCTCTCTCTCTCTATATATATATATGGCTGAGGCTACACACACACACACACACACACACACACACACACACACAAGCTGTCCCTTGCCACGCATTGCTGTGGCCCAGTCTGTTGATCTGGAAAATAAAGTAATGAGAAAGTGTTGGTTGCTAATATTTGTAATTTCTTTATGCTTGTGGGTAAACAGCATGTCTTGCTGTTTCTTTGTCAGTGTTGATGTGGAGAGTGTCTGGTTTGCCCACCCTGGAACATGCAACATA